CCCCCGCCCCCCCCCCCCCCCCCCCCCCCCGGCTTCCCGCACATGTGACGTCGGAGTCCTTGACATGCTCTGCCCCACACACACCCAGCTGGCCTGCCTGTCTGCCCCACCTCCTACCGCCGGCCCTGCTTTCTTGCTGCTTCTCAGCCTCGCTGCCCCAGGCTCTTTGCACTCGCTCTGTCCATTGCCTGGAGGCTGTTGCCCAGGTGCACCTATGCACGTTCCCTCACCAGATTCAGGTCTCTGCTCAAGTGCCACCTTGTCAGGCCTCACCACTTATGGAGCGAGTGACAGGGCATCTCATCTGTCTTTCCTCCTCCTTTCCTTGCCTGTGTCACTATACTGTGAGCCCCGCGAGGGCTGAACTCATTCTCTGCTCTGACCCCGGGACTGAGAACGGGGCCTGCCACATTCGGGACTTCTGGAAATGCTGAATGAGGGGAGGGTGGAGGGGATGGTGTTGGAGCTGGTCTGAGACTTGACAGGGTCTCACGGAGGGCAAAGCTGGGAAGGTTGTCCTAAGCAAGGGGGCAACACGGAGGACAGGCGAGGACCACTACCGGGAGAGAAGCAGGAATGCAAGCCAGGCCGGCCCCGCGCGACCTAGGAGGAGAAGCCCACCAGACCTTAGCGGAGGGACCAGGAGAACATCAAAGGGACCGAGTCAGGAGGATTCCTAAATAAGCGACCAACCATGAGGTCCCCAGGGCTGCCTCTCCACTTGTGTAAACGCACAGAGAATCACACCTGAAATTCTCGGTCAGGCGCTTTGCTGAACCCCCTTAGGATATGTGTCATTGTCTCCTGTCCCATGAGAAGGAAGTTTATTCCATGGCCCTTTGTGACCGGGGGACTTTTAAGCTCAGCTAGCTGTTTTCCCTTGGGGTTTGCAAAATAGGAGTGACCTGGCTCAAGCTTGGTTTCCAAAGGGCCTCCTGGTCGACCCACACTGGGGTGGTGGGAGTAGAGGCAGCGGCTGGAAGAGGGATCCTGGGAGGCGATCGGGGCCAAGGCCTGGGCTCCAAAGCCCTGGCGGGGCAGACTGTGGCCACCATCCCTCACTCTGTTCTCCCCCACAGGGAGAAGCACCGGGAGCTGAGGGGAGGCACGGAGGCGGGCACCGTGCCCTCGGGCCCTGGCGAAGGTAGGTCCCTCCCATCTGGGGCTTGCTCTGTGGGACGTGGGGGGAAGGGTTCCAAGGCCCTGCTTGCCGCCCTCACAGCTGCATCTGCCTCTAGCCCCCGAGGACGCTCTAGGCCAGCTGTTCCGGGTCCTGCAGGACCTCCGGGAGGCCCACGGCTCCAGCCCGGCCAGCCCCCTGTCCTCGGAGCCCAACTGCCTCCCGGAGCTGCAGACGTGAGGCCTCCCTGCACGCTTACGCCGAGCTCCCACCAGGCACTTGGAGACCCCCGGCGCGCTCTGCACCCGCACCCCTGCTCCCGTCACAGAGGTGCAGGACCTGGATCTCTTCCTGGGCACAGCGAGGTGGGGGAAGCCTGGGACAAAGCAGTCCCCAGAAGCCCACAGCTGACCGGGCTCAGCTCATCGTGGCCGGCCTGAAGTCTCTCG